TACTATACGCAATGTCTACTGTTAAGGTACCGTAGGTTATGGTTATGGATCTGGTGGGTAATGCTGACTCATGTGGACTCCAAAATGATGCTTGGCATGATCCTGGTTCAAAATCCTGTCTAATTTCAGTTTCTCCTTCTCCCGACCAACTATGTTCTTTCATACTTGGTTCTTGATCTGTTCTCCTCGACGCCCTTATAAAGAGCAAAGCAAGGTTGGTGTGGCTTGTCGTAGCAGCTGTCTAGTTCTTACAGTGGTTCCAAAGAGAAACATTCAAATCTACTTTTTCTTGGATAGATGTGACTTCTTCTAGTATTCGATTCCAGCTATGAATGTTTTTTGGGTATTATAAATATCTATAACAATCCTTGTAAGAGACAATTTCGGAGTAAGTGCAGTGTTGTGAGAAGTATTTGAAGGTGCGAAAGTACGTTTGTAGTGGGATAAAAATACAATCAGGGATAGCCTAATGAAAAAATACTTATAGTCTATCTGTTTGCCTTCTAAGTTTATTTATTTATTTATTTATTACGGTATAAAATTACACAACAAGCAGCCAGGCAGCTGAAAACGCTAAGCTTACAAACATCAAAAAGATGAAACAAACAAGATAAACAAGAGATTAAAAATACCATCAGCAAAAATATATAAATGTATATATAATAATAATAATAATAATAATAATAATAATAATAATAACAATAATAATAATAATAATAATAATAATAATAATAATAATAATAATAATAATAATAAAAACGATAATAATAACAACAATAATTACCATCCTAATCACTCTTACCATCATCCCCACCACCATTACTACTACAATATTACCATCATTATTATAGAAATAAAGGAATAAAGCATCTCAACAGATAAAGGAAAAGGAAATCACAATTCAACAGTCGAAGGATTAATTCCAGCCTACGCATCTAATTCATTGTTAATTAATTGCACTAATGTAGGGATTGGTGATTTTCGGAAAACGTTCTGTTTTGGGCAAAGGTCTACTAAATTCAAGTTTATTTGTAGAACTGTTTCTGAGAACTCTAGATGTAGAGGTAGAGGTTCTCAATCTAATTCTTTTGTTCAGTGGCAGTAGTAGTGCTGAATCAGCCATAGTGGCTCATAATTTAAGGGCCACATTTATTTTTAACCGCTTCAATTGATTCAATTTGTTGTTTTGAATACGGATCCCACACCATTGAGCCATACAGTATTATAATTTCGGTGTTTGTGAACGATTTATAATCATATATGCAGAATCCTTTATTATGCTGGGAGCACGAATACTGATTAGGGCCTACGACGTCCAAAACCTATTTTGTCATATTAAAATAATATATTAAGGTTTATAAAACATTCCAGCTCATTTCATCTTGTCCATGGGTGATTCATGGGTGTCCATGGGTGTACCGTTAGATGAAAATGAGATAAAAATGTTTAAAATAAATAATATTTTTACTATATTTCAAGCGATCAATTATTATCGTTTGTGAACTTCATAAACTCTATTATGATATAAATTTATATTTACATGTAAATGTCGACGCGATCGTTATTAGAAAATTCTGTACACTTTTCTTAAATTAGAGAAGAAACCAAAATAATGACGTATATATTTTCCTTTTGTTACACAAGTTTATTTTATTAATGTGTTCCTTAAATCATGTCTTGTAAATAATTGTTGATAGATCAATTGTACAACCTTGAATATTAATAAATCCATCTCGAGTATACAAACACACGTGACACGTGAGACACCGGTAATTGTTATCGACCAGGGAACAATACACCAGTCCATTTAAAGTACGAGTGAGGTTTACTTACACTTAGTTGTATGTTGAGTCCGGGAAACAGTAGGAGACGTGCACGGTTTATTTGTTTCACTACCAGTTCAGCATCGATTCAATGGTAATTTTTTCCCTATTTTTATTTATCTCTTCATTTTCTTCCTTCTCTTTGTGTAGCTCCTGCTTCTGCTCCTCCTCTTGTTTCCTTTTTTAATTCTTTTTGCTTAAATTGTATTAAAACTATTTTCTTCCTGTCGTTTTTTTCCATTTCCACTGTTAGTTGCTGGCAGGTTTCCTTGTAGATTTATTAGCAGACCACCAATGGTTATGTATTTGCGTACTTTTGCACGAAGTAGATGAAATCTGCTACAGATCTTTCCGTATCTGTTGCTGAAATTAAAAATTAAAGCGTATCGAACACACTGGCGTTATTAAATATTGGACCTTATTTTTGTGGAAAAGTTTAAATTGAAAAATAAAATCCGTTAAGCATGTACGTTGGTTGAAAACAGAGAGGGATGAAACTAGAATATTTCTGAAACCAGAATATTTCTAATAGCTTTATTATTTTGATTTTTTTTTACCTTTTCAAGATGTCGAATAAGCCAAGTAAAGATGGCGAAGTTCTGCCAATTGTACACAACTTACTTAAAAACTCATCATCCCACGGACTACCAAATATATATTCTTCGAGAAATGTTGTTGCCAAGCTTTTCTGGGGTATGGTATTCTGTGCTGGGCTTTGCCTTATGTTTTGGCAAGTCTACACGTTGTTCGAAGCCTATTTTGCGTACGAATACATAGTTGGCCTTGAAGTTAGATATAACAAAACTCTGCCGTTTCCCGCGGTAACGATCTGTAATTTAAATCCTGTACTGAAAAGTAAACTAGAAGAAGCAGACGAGGGCTTCAGAGATAAATTTGACTCAAATTATGTACCACCGAACGATAAAGACACTCAAGATGATAAAAACAACATGGTTACCAGCAGCAGCCTAACTTCGGCTACGAATGATGACGGTGGATCAAATCAGGGAACCAGAATGGATGGAGAAACAACGACACAAGCAGTTAATACAACAGAACCTGTAAGTTCCTAACATATAATATGATAGCATAATACGTACTCCAAGTATCGAAATGTACGCCATCGTGTCGGGATTAAATATTTCGACATTAATTATGATATAATATTATATTCTAATTTGTTTATACCATATTAATTAGTAACATGTTCTATAATAGGCTGCTAATCATCTTATTTTAGTAATCGTTTTCAGTGTACATCTTACAAGGGTATTACCGCAAGTAAACTGCCTATCGAAAATGGAGTGGTCCAAGGAAGTTAACCTGGACCTTGTATTGATAGTGATTGTTATTGCCGTGATGGAATACGGTACACAATAACTGGATTTGCGTCAGGAGAATCAAGTATAGGTGTAATGTTGATATACCGTAGTTGATTAAAAAATGGTTAAAAAATAATAATAGTTATAATTATTGTAAATATATTGTTGATGCAGGTATTTCCCCTTGATGACATTAGTAGCTAATACAATTGAATTGTATTGTAGATTCTTTTCTTTTGGATGAGAATTTTAAGCCATTGGTGGTCCATGTGCAATATGGCCCATGTGCACGTTAAAGAACGCATTACGCTCTTCGGAAACGTAGGGGAGTGTCCCCTGGTGTTCTACCCAATCACCGCCAGAAGGACTCCAATGAAAGTACGTCTTCTTTCGCAGGTTCTCCTTGGTGTTCAAACCGAATAAATTCATCCATCTAGCAATCATTCATTCTACACATAACGGTATAAATATAACCTTTTTATATCTCTTTGTATTTTACTGTTTGTGTACCTAAGCTGTTACGTTGCTATAGCGAATCATGTGAAAACACAAATAATCACGTTAATTAATTAGCCCTAATAAACACACGGTCAAATGATCCAGTAAGATTAAAAGAATAATAAATAAGTACAGTATATTACATATATACAATACACATAGCCTATACATATTAGGCCAATTATTATATTATATGTAAAATACTCAAATACCCGCTCTGCTAGGCTAATATCTAATGGGTATAATAAGTCAAATGTTATGAAACAAATAATTATAACCTTATTCACGAAAACCAATATGATTTTCGGAAAACACATTCTTACTCAGTAAATCTAATTTGATTACCTGTATTAGTTACTATGATTTCAAAGCTGCGAACATACGCTATTCTAGCTTATTTATAGCTCCATATGAGCGTTGTTGTTGAGAGAAAGTGCCTGCAATTATATCCTTAGGTCTCCGTAGTCTAATGGGCATGACAATCACCATGATACCAAAAGGTTGCACGTTCAAATCCCGCCAAAGACACTTTTTTTTTCATATAACTGAATGAAAGGAACTTTTTCGTTCAAATTAATTCAAACTCAAACAATATACATATGTAAACAGAAGCGGCAGTTTGGCGCAGCGGTTGTGGTTCTTTTAATCGTAAGGTCGGGGTTTCGAGTCTCCTCTGTGCAGATTCGCTTGTGTCCTTGGGAAAGGCACTTCAGCTACATTGCTTTGCTGTCCACCCAGCTGTATCAATGGGTATCAGCAATCTGCTGGGGACTAACCTGTGATAGACTAGTGTCCCGTCCAGGGGGATTACAACTCTCATCCGCTTCACACTACAGAAACTGGGGATATGCCCTATGAGCTCCAGTGGCTCGGAAATAATTTAGTAGTTAGTTAGTTAGTTAGTAAACAGAAACAAGTCATTTTATAACAGACTTTTTCCGTGAATAAAATAAATATTCGATCAGAACCACCCACCCAAATAAAAATTGCTAGGCGTATCCAGAATGTTTTTAATTAGGAGAGCTTGGGAGCAGAAGATCTAGTGAAAAAGCAACGAGTGGGAATATCATTTTCTTTTCTATTTTCCTTCATCCATAAAATCATAAGCGATATTTTTACCAAATCCAACGATAGCTTAAAATAATTAGGCCTAGTAATAGTAGAAATCATACCCAGACTAGTACATAATGTAGGCACAGGCCGTGCATGTTAATGATTGGGACGATCGGGACTATGCTAAAGTGAAGATCTGATGCTTCAATAAGTTTTCCAAATAAAAATCGTACCGTAGCATTAGCATTTCAAATAACAAATACAGTATACTTCAAATATACCTTAAATGCCATGGCAAGTCGGCGCTACATCTGGAGATGTATGTTTTTGGTTGACTTGTAAAATCTAGATAAAGACAATAACTTGTCTCATTAAAAACAAATCAGCTTTAGTTTTGAGTTACGGTATTATTTATTATTTTTAATTGATCAAAGTGCGGCGTATTCATGTGCAACACTGGGAGACTTAGAACTGCCTTTTCAAACGGGATATGATTTTCTTTTTTATTACGAGTAATAATCGCTAGTTGTCAGTACAAGTTTCACCGGGTGGCAATGGTTTAGCCTTGCATGTTCTTTTTTTTTATGGAATTCCTAAGCCGAAATTCGGCATTAAAAATATGTTTAGCTTGAAATTCAATTAATAAACGTTGTTTTAAATTTAAATATGATTTAGCTTTAATTTAGTGCAAAATTTGATCTACTTTGATAATGGACAACGTTTTCGGAGGGCGATCGCGCTTCTTGAGGCTGATGGATTGCAACTACGTCGGAAATTGATACAAAATCAGTATTTTAAACGTTATATTTGTTCATCGATTCGTATAAATCACTGAATATACTCACATATACACGGTGCTGAACAACGTCCCGCCCAGCCGACTAATTTTAAACATCGATCAGGGACCTCCTTGAGTTCACCTACTACTTTTGTCAGTTCTTGTACGCACAGGCGGCGTACAAAGAGGTTCCCGTGGTTGGGTTGGGCGCTGTTACAACCGCTAGAGTAGTGGTTGTTATACCTTTGCTTGAAAGGTCCTCCTGACAGGCCTATGTATGTTTTTGTGTTTTCTT